GACCACTAAGGTCAGAGAAATTGTCTTGAACTAACTAGATTTTGGCTTCAGTCCAGCACAGCAACTCCTAGATCCCCATCCTTGCCCTCACGAATCATTTGGGTTTGGTTTTGGGTTGTTGTTTTTTTTGCAGTGTGCCTAACACACAGCACCCCATGGCTTTTGGAATCCCATTCAAGTTGATTGTGTTTTCCAGGCTTCCTCCTTCATCTTTGTTCAGGATGTAAGTATAGTCCTGTAAGGACAGAAGTGAGAAAATCCTGCTGGTTTTACTGGCATGTATTTCCCATCTTGGTTTCGGCATAAATTGTTTCTTTGTAAAGCAGTTCCATTTAACTTCCCAGGAAGAAAAAAACAAATACCAAAAAATTCCCCCAACAAGCTCACAGGGATTTATAGAAAAATAGGGCTGGTGAGATTACCGACTCCATTGTCTCCCCTAAGTGAAGTTCTGAGATTTTAAAAATGAGCGCTTACTTAGCAAGTTTGTTTAGGTCTGGAGGTTTGTTTTTGTATTTCTTCTCAAGGGAGCAGGGACTTTTGGAAAGCTACTAAGTTGCATTTTTCAGAAAAATCCTCATTTGGCTGGTGTCCTTTTTTGAAGCATTTGACTAGAATAGCAAAGTGTGGTGCTAACACATAGTGTGAGGAGCGAAGGGGAGGGAACATGTGCCAAGGTCACCTCCTCAGCGGTAGCAATGGCAGGCTTCACAGCAGTGATATAAAACCTCCCTCTGATACAAGATACCACTCACAGCTACTTTTTAAGAGCTATAAAAATCCAGAGCAGGCACACATTAATTAAAGCAGTTCAGAGAGAAGCGCTATGTGTCAGTCCTGGCAGCGGGTGACTGAAGGGCACGTAGCGCGCATGGGAGCAGAATGCCCATGGACTAAATGCCCATGGATTAGCTAAAATATTTTAGTTTTTATCACCTCCAGGTTTGTCAGTGGGCAGCACAGATGGTTTGCAGCTGGGGAGCCACTCAGTGCGCTTGGAAGGAAGCAATGTGACCTGTGTTGTGAAGCAATGCGTATCCTAAGGAAGTTTTTCTTCATGACTAGCCCAAATCTCCTTCATTGACATTTAAGTCCATAACCTCCTGTCCTACCTAGACTAGAAAGCGGACCATGAAAATCCCTCTTGTCTTCACTACAGTATTTTTCTTATTTATTGCCTTGTCTCTCAGTTCTTCTGGGCTTTGGTCATAAGCCACATTTCCATGCTGGTGTCCCCTGCAGAGCACACGGCTCACCTTCCAGAGTGGCAGGTCCTGAGCAAAAGAGGCAGTGAGGACAAGGACCCATTCAGGCTTCCCTCACCTCCTTTCCCTCCAAGGTTAGGGCAAAGCAGGCTGAGAGATGGTTGAGGTTATTACACAAGTGCAAACCTGCTAGCTACAGCAATTTTTCTTCTTTGGCCCCTACTGCAGCCTGTCATGAGAAATAAACTTTTGCTATGAACCCACTGACTAGCCCCAGCTGGCTGTGAAACACATCCAACTGAAGGATGATGGCTAGCAGGAAGTCTTTCTGGTTTTAACTGGTGATTATTCCAATTGAGGGAAATAAAGATAACCCACCTTTTCTAGCTCTGTCATCTATCTACCTGTATTTACCCCACCTCCCGGCTTCTTTGTCCAAAGTTGCAGCAGCGCTTCCACACTGCTGGTAGCAAGAGCACTCTCCAACCTTTCACTACACACTGGAAACCTTGAAAGCAGGGGAGCAGAACTTGGGGGATGGAGCTAATGGGGCCAGAGCCCAGCGGCATTTGGAGTCCTAATGCCCGTTTACAAGTCAGAGAAAAAAAGAAAGATACCTGGGTATTCTTGAGGGTCTAATACTCAGCACCACCCATGGCTTTCCTGCACAGAACATGCACTTGAAGGCAGTTTTCTCCCCTGTAACCATAGCTTTTGCCAGGCAAGTAGGGATAATGATTTTTTTTTTTATTCATGGTGCCTTGAAAGGGGGTGCCACTCCCATTTTCACATGCCACCAGCAGTCAGTCTCTCTGCTTTTATTTACGGCTAAAAGTCCTGGACAGAGTCAGGGCACAGAGGAAAAAGGGAAGAGTGACTGGCAGATCTCAGCTGATGCAAAGTACTGTTTGGCATTTTTCAAAGGACAATCAGTTGGAAAAGATCTGCTGTTAATCAATGTGAAACAGATACATGTCAGATCCCCACAGAGCACACTACATGCAAAACAGCTTCTTAGAGCAGCAGCTTTTTGTGGAGGGAGTTTGGACAGGCAGTTTTTCTCTTAAGCCTGCATTTCTGACAGCTGCCTCGTACCTTTTTCCAAGACTTGTCACATTTGTGCTGAGATATATAAATGTTTTCTCTTTTATGCTCCTTAACCACTGCACAATCTTTCCATTTTTTAAGCAAAGAAAGATAGAAGCCATATTTTATATCATCTACAGCTGAAGCTGGAGTTTTTCCTGTACAAGGAAATGGTTTCTTGTTATCTGAAGATGACATCTCTATTTTACAGTAAAAGCCTCCATCCTTTTTTTCAGTTCTCTTTACTCCCCCCATCTCAGAAACTGAACTTATCCAATAGCTTGCAAAGAAAAATAATAAAAGAAAGACGGTTTTGCTCTGTTTCCTGGCGACCAACACCACTGAGACCCCAGGTAGTATCACTCTGGCTAATACAAGGCAGAAACAAGCACTGCGATAGTTAAGTGGGAAGACAGGATGCAGCACTAACCTTGGTGCAGAAAATCCTTGCCACAGCTGCCTGCTCTTCATGGTGGAATTCACAGTGATAGAGGAATCTCTTTTGAATATGGGAAATTATGTTCCATGTATGTTTATTTGGCTTTTGGGTTTTTTTTTTCCCCTTACTTTGCTTAACCATGTTGGCTCTCTTGCATTACCCTCTCTACCTGTAAAAGCAAAACTCCCTTGATGCAGGGCTAATACAAGAGGGCACACTGTGGCTCCCTTAATAACTCACAGAGAAAGCTGGATACATCTTCTTTGCACTTACCTCAAACTGCCTCTCTTTCTCCAGAACAGTGTACCCCTGAGGGTGGGGAAAAGCCCTTATGCCAATAACACAGCACTGCGTAGAAATGAGAGAAAGGGCTTTTAAACGGCCCTTATTCCCAAAGAACATCAAGGGGATGCAGTTTGTGTCGGACTCTGGGAATGAAGAAGGCAGTATAGGTCTGGTCTACTGCGGAGGCCTGAAGGAAGGACGAGATCAAGGAGCAGGGATGGGAACTGACCTACTGGTTAAGACTAGAGGTGTCTCTACATCAGTACAGAACACTGCACACTGGCGAGGGCTCCTGATGACTCCTCATTACAGAGGCTGCCTCTGCACGTGCAAAAGGCCCAGTTCCTCAAAGGCATTTGGGCACAGGGCCAGGGCAATGAGGTACTTCTCAAGGCTAACCACGTTGCCTTCACTGAAAAAAAAATAATAAACCCCACCAAAACCCATACAGATAGCGTGGAGTTCAGATACTCCCTAGGGAGCCAGAGCAATAGAAATGCAACAGGAAGACAGCTTCCCATCCCTGCCATTAGTGAATACCAAACAGAGAAAAATGTAAGAAGCCCACAGGGATATGTTGTCTTCAGTCCTGTCAGTCATGGATGTGACAGCTGGGACCTTTAAAGACTGTCAAAGGAGGGAAACCAAGGCACTCCAAATGCCAAGTCTGTCAGCGGCATAATTAACATGTCATGTACGGTTTGCTCAGAAATGCAGCGCTTACTGCATCTCCAACTACCAGACTATCAAAAATGCTGCTCGGCTGGTAATTCCTGCACCTTGCAATAGTGTCTAAGTTACTGCAAAGCCAAGAAAAAGGCAAACTGTAGTGTTTGGGAAGACAGAAACCAGTTTGCAGCCCATGGGGAAAGGCAAGCTAACCTCCCACAGGGGCTGTTGGTACTCCTGGTCCAGAGGACCGTCTCTGGAAACATGTACCCAGTCGCATTCTTAGAAAAGCACATCTGTTTCACATGGGCAAAACACCTGAAACAAAAAGGATGGAGACAAATTCTGCAGGGAATTCATAAGCCAAGACAGGTCTGGGGACCTAAGCAGCTGGAGCATGCTCCCCACTAACCTGCAAGAACCAATTTGAGGCAGGTGGCATCAAGTACCAGGTAAAAGGGAAAATTTCCTCCATCTCTGGCAGTGTACCTTGGGCAAACTTACAGACATAAAGTGACAACCGATGGAAAGAAAAATCCCATGTTGTGAAAGCCAGCCCACACAGAGGGGCATGGCAATTCTCTCTCTCGGCAGACAAAAATGGATGTGCATGGTTTAGTGCAGGAGGGTCCTAGTATAGGTAAGATACTTGGGGCAACCTAGATGAATGCTCAGGTTGAGCAAAATCTAAGTTTTTGTTTAAAAAAAAATGTAGATCTGTAGCCATCATGACTGACCAACACGACCAGGCCAAGGACAGCACCTGAATCCACTGAGAGCCTCAGAACAACAAGTCAAGTATACCTGAGCAAATCTGCTATCGCACTACTTCGAAGTACAGTATTGCTGCCAGCTCTTCCACAGCTCATCTCAGACAGATAGGGAAGTCACAGGAAAGGGAAACTCAGAGGGTGAGGTCCAGGTGTTACTGTAAGGAACAATGGACTTGTAAGGACAGGGTGAGACACAGGGAAAGAAGAGAAAAAGCAGGCATGTGAAAAAGAAAAAAAGAGCTTCAGCAGTGGTTAAGTCTGGTAAAACAGCAAATTTTTACTGAGTGTGACAATTAGCGATGAAGACATACAAGAAAGTTTTACCTATAGACTGGCAGAATTTAAAATCATAATCATATAAAAATAATCTATTTCTGCACAATAAATATATCACTTCCCCTCCTCTTTCAGGTTGACTTAAAATGATGCAACTTAAGGATATCTTACAAACAACAAAGAATCTTAGTTAAGAAAATATTTATAAAGGAAGTTTTCCTTGCAAATTCCTATTTCTGAACAAGTGATCTGGAAAAAAAACCCCACAAAACTCTTCAATGATACCACTGATTCGTTAAATTTAGAGGATGTGTAGTCCAATTCTTGTCTCAACATCATTTTCTTATCTCAACAAACAGAAAAGACAGCAGCCCTGTGGTCATCCCATTGGTTCCATCAAACAAGGACAGCTTTATCAGGAGTTCCTACATCAGAACAAGGAGAAAAAACAAAGCAGAATGAAGAATTGAGATGGACACCTTTTACTCCTGATTGTTGAAACGGAGTTTCTGAGCCATGCAAAGATCTCTCGCCACACTGATCAGATGGCACTGAAGACAGGAGATAGTACTATCTGAACACATGCTCAAAATGCTTTGGAGAGAAATAGTTACATCCAAGCTGCAGGAGGTTCTTGCTGATTCTTGCAGAGATTATAAGCAGCTGTGTGAATGAGCATAGAGACAGGACACATTTGGCTAGATCAGTTTTTGTTAAGACCCATCAGTGGCACAGGAAAGGAATAGAATTGCCCTTATAATGAGAAAATGGTCTCATTTGCAGCTCTGTGATAAGTAGTATATATCATGAATCTTCGATTCCTTGTGCTTAGGCTGTTACTGCAGCTCCTCTGTTATGGCATTAACATACCATTTCTCCACAGCTCCTACTTATCTCAAACGGTCTCTGCTACAAACAGGTTTTTCACCCCTGGCCTCTGAAATTTCTTGAATTATCTGATAAGGGAAAGTTTCAGCCATGATCACAGCAGGCCCAGGATTCTGCCCAGATGTTATAATAAAATATGGGTCAACTGTGCTATATGCAGTAGTGTGAAGTACGGTAAGGGTTTTACTGAAGGGTCTTTAGAGAGACCTATAAAAGTTGAGCACAGCTTCATCATTCAGGAGAAGCACACTCATATCATGCAATCAAAATCATCAAAAGTGATTTCACAGAAAGGGCTATGTATTTTTAAAAAGTTCTATTTCACTAAGGTCTAGCAACAGGCAAAAAACATGGATATTTAAGAAAGTAAGACAGCAACACATTTTAAAAAAACAACAGTAATAATGAACACACACTAGCTTGTATTTTCAAAGCATTTTACAAAAACATGAATTAATTAAGCCTCACAACACCCTTGTGAGATAGTTAAGTATTATTAGTCCCATTTTAGAGACAGGGAAACAGGCATGGAGAGAGTATGACCTGCTCACCACCACACATGTCAAATCCAGGAACAGAACGCCAGATTTTCCAGTTTTCTGCCACATGTGGTCTGACCTCTTAAAAAGATGCTGGTCTTTAAATGACATTTGTTTCCTCTCATCCCTTTTAAGACACCCAACCTTCTTTCAGTCTGACATGAAAAGGTACCCGCAAGAGCTATTCATGATAAACAAGTGGAATTAGGAAAGAACATTTTTTTATAGACTGTGCATTGCTGCAAGCTGTTTAAGAAAAGACTTGACACGGGTCCTTCCACACTGCCAGAGTCAGAGTGTTGCTTCCCATCAGGCAACTGCCACCAGGAAACTCACTGAGGTCTATCTGCAATGCTGATACAGCTCAGAATCTGCAAAAAAAGAAAGGTAAGGTTTCTTTGCCACTTCCAAACATGGAATCTCTGTCTGGCAGGGAGTCTTCTCTGAGAAGAACTCATATGAATACAACTGCACTGAAAGCAAAGAGAGACTTTTATCAGGAGACTCTCAAAGTGCAGCCAAGGGCACAGATGTATTTGTCAGAAAACCTGGAAATGTTCCTATATTGTGCTCTGTGTCAAGAGAGATAGTCTGGAGGCATCAGACATCCTGGGGGTTAGAAAATAACTCTCCATAGTCACTTTGAGAAGACAAGTTCCCTTAGCATATCACTCTTGCACTGAACCAGGCAGTGACAATACTAGGATTAAAAATTCCAAACCCCCTGAAAATTCAAGTCAACAGATTTAACTCTATAAAAACACCAAATCTGGCAGATCTACTGCTGCCTGTTTGCAAACCCAGGCCCAGGTGTTAGTGGAGACATAGAAATAAAAACAGTCCTTCCACCTTCAGTTACATATATCCATTAGACACTATCTAGAGTCCAGGAAGCTAGTTTCACGACAGCTCAATCTGAAGATCTTCCCCATACTTTCGGATCAGCTTCATGTGGTTATGGTCCACTGACCACTGCTCTGGGAGGTGCTTGGGCTGCATGCTGTCCAAGAAATGCTGCCGCCAGCGTCTCTCCAACTGCATAAGGGAGCGCAGGCCTCCTTTAGCAAAACACTGCACCACCTTCAGTCCATGTGGCATGTAGCTCTCATTGCAGATCCTGCCAGGACACAAGCAGAGTTTATTTTCACACAAACCCACTGTCAGGCTCTAGACCTGTCTCCAATGAACAGCAAGACACTGAAGATGCTTTCAACTGCAGAGTTTAATTACAGACACACGGTAAGCTAACCAAGAGGGAGAGTTTTAAGCTTTGCTTCAACGCCAGACTGTTTTCTGGAACACAGTCACACTGGGAAGCTGGTTTCTTTGAACTGAGAAAGTGTTCTTTTATAGCAATGCTAAACAAAGCTCTCAAGGTCCATTACAAGCTCCTCAGGAGACAGATTGCAAATTTCTCAAGGCAAGAACTATATGACACTCCAGAGTCCCGATCCTGCCACTGAATTCCCTGTCTGGATAGGTTCTAACATTGGCACATTACAAACAACAGTGAGCATAACAAGGAGAAAATACTGACTTCCTGCAGACAGAGACCAGATACTAGTTAAGAAAAGATATTTGGGGAGGCTTTGAGAAAGAGGAGGAGGAGGATTTCTGATATGATTGTCTTTCAGTCTCCCTCCCTGATTTGTCCTTTAAAAGAAGTATAAAATAGCGGAGGAGAAGACAGAGAGCAAGAACCGAACGAGATTGCTAGAAAAGAAAGGGAAAGAGGGGAAGAAACAAGAGCTGCAGTTCACAGACCACTGCTGGGTTGAGGGGAGAAGAGGGTAAACAAAACCAAAAACACAGTAAGAAATGCAGAGTGTGCTTGTCTGCTTAGAGCCTTAAGCTACAGCACAAACAATTAGCTTCTTCCTATCCTTGCTTTCTAGTTAAATGTATCAAAGTACTATGAATCCAGACTCTGCAGGCTTATACAAGTGATAAAGTTATGCTTTTAGAGACTCATTTTTCCTGTGCAGATGAACTCCTAGTAGTCTCAAATTCAGACACTCCTTAACTTGACACCATTATTTCAGGGAAGATACCTCAATATCCCAAGGACACCAGCAAGAGGTTTTGTCTTATTTTCACTAAAAGGCTTTGGGAGGGGAGGGAAATCAGCATGTGTGATCCTCAGCTCTGCAAATCCTGCTGAATTTTCTTTTATTTTGCTACAGTACTATTGACCCAAGGCTCTGTGCATAAACAACTTTTTGTTGAACTTATATGCCAACATAAATGACTAAAACGCTACATCTACTGTTGGGCTTGTTATACCTGGTTTCCAGACCAGCTGCTTCCTGAAGCATCTCTGGGGTGACTACCTCTGTGTTAAAGAAGTCCTTGATGCTTTGCAGAAGTTCTGCCCTTCGGGAGTCAGGCAGGCTGTCTGCATTCAGCAGGGCTCGGGCCCCCGAGCGCACTTGCCTGCGTAGAGGATCCTCCAGCAGACGCACGCCTTCCTCAGAGCCGATGGGAGCACCAAACTCCTCAGCCAGCTGCTGCTTGAGATGGTTGTCATAGTAATTGGAGATGGCATGGCAGGACGTGCAGAGTAGGAGCACATCATGGGAATTGTGGTCCTTCATCTGGATAGGAAAGTGTCTTCGGTATTCGTGAGGAACAATGTTCTTCCTAGGGAAGACAAACCAGCCAGCTCATTACATTTGCCTGGAGCTGCTACTCCGCAGTTCCTCCTCTTCCTGGCCCACAAAGCGTCAACTAATACTAAAAGTCCAGGAAAACAAAGATCACCAGGGTCAGGACCCTCAATGCAGCAATAGGTTCTGCAACTTCTTTTTATTTGTACTTCTCTCTACAGGTTTGCTGCGTTCCTCTTTTTTTTTCCCCGTCTAAAAATTCATTGCTTCCATTTAAAAAAACATAAAGTGATTCATACTGTAACAAAAAAATAAAGCAATGCACTATGAGAAGCATACCTCTCAAACAGTAGCAGCTGTGAAGACAAAAATCTCACCCTTTGTGACCTCATGGGTTTTAGGCTCACCTAAACCTTTCAAAAATACAAGGATTAAGTAGTGGAAGGAATAGTACAACTATTTTCAGAAGGAGATGCCATCAGAACAGTGTGTGTTGGCATACTGCTGCCCCCTGTCATTCAAACTGCAGCACATACACATTCCATACGCTTTGTTCTTTGCAAGGGCCGACACCTCCTGCCTCTGTAAGAGGAAATGCTGGCCTGTTCAGTGTCAAACTTACCCAGAAACATATGACTACAGAGCATTCAAATAGCGGTAGCCCATCCAGGCTGTGAACAAGCATGATGTTTCAGGCCACTAACCATGCTTCCGGATGCCAAACTAGATGCAGACCTCAGTCCTGTTTTAAAAGATGGATTTTCCTCCTATACCACTAAACAACTCACCGGATATAGGACTCTCGCTTGCCACATACAACACACAGGTTCTCTTTGACTGTCAGGTAATAATCAACTTGAGACTCAGGACGTCCTGAAGGCTCAAACCGCAGCTTCACAACAAATGGGTCTGTGCTAACTAGCTCTGAAAGGGTAAAGGCAAATAGAGAACATTCAAGACAAATTTGCATTTGAAAGCTAAAATAACGATCCTAAAACATAGGATTCATCCTAGTGAATCCCCAACAGTATTTCCAATAAGAAAGGATACAAAAAAATTAATGCCCAGTTACGTAAGAAACAAGGCAAAACAAACAAACAAGCAAGCTGTATTTCAAATACCGACAGGAAAATTGGTATGCTTACCTCCGATCCCCTTGTCCAGATACCACTGAGCCTTCTTGCGATCACAAGTGCACAGGGGCTGTCCATCTGGAGCATGCAGGAAGCAGTTGTCATACAGTGGAGATTTTCTATGAAATAAGGGCAGCATCACAGCGACTATAATAGCATGCCAAAAAGACAGAGTTCTCTATAGCCATGTGTTCCACACTGCAACTCATGCAGCCTCCTCCAAATCACAGAAGTGCCCCTAAACACACACTTAAAGCTGCTGAGCACTACAAAGGCTGCTGCTAACAGAACATCTGAAAGCAGAACATCTGAAAACTTACCTGGGGTTCACCAACTGACTGTAAGATATCTTTGCTCTCCTGCTGCCAATAGAATTGTAACTCTGAATCCCAGTTTTCAAGAGATGCCACCAATGATGACAGCATTTTCAAAAAAAAATTACATTAGAAAGCAAAAGAGAATTGAAGTCAAGAAGGACAATGAGCTAAGAGTAAGCTAAAAGAGAGTGCCAATTTACAGGCAAGGCAGTTTCAAGGATCAGTTGCCTAAGCCCATACTTTAATGTTTTATTAAGATGACTTTTCTAAAACTTAGTGTAAACAGCAAGTACTTCATTCATCCAAGAGAAATGCTGTAAAAAGGCTCCTGCAGCACTGGGAACCCAAACACACGAGTCCATGGGAACAACAAAGCTGAGCTGAGGCCCTCTGAAACACAGGCACCTGACCTTAGTCAGTAGCAAGAAGTCGTGCTTGAGTAGTCTCTGGTGGTTTGTGGCAGTGTGTGGAAGGGCTCTGTTTTGCAGGAAACATTTCATTACTCTGCCAACCTCCTTCAAACAAAACTCAAGAGCAGAGCAGGCTCAGCTCAAGGAGCACCTGGGAGGAACTGGCCAGAGATACAGACATGTCACAATATGCTGTGGAAAAGCTTCCTTTCTTCTTCCCAGCAAGATCGTATAAATAAATACTCAGAAGAGCTCTACCAGCTAAAAAGGTTGATTCACAGGCTATGTAATCTGACACAAGGATTTCTTCTGAGGTCCATGGGGTGAAAAAAATCCAACAAAACAATAATGATACAGGAGGTCTCCTTCCACTGAGCATCAGCAGTTCAGCTGCTTTGAATAATTCCCAACTCTAAATGAATAAACATTAAAACTAAACAGGCTTATAGAAAGGAAGAGTGGAAAAGGACTTTTGAAACTGCATCCAGTCTTATTACAGACCAGAGCCATGCTGCTGGAGATACTGTAAAGAAGAGTTAGCCTATAGATCTCTCATGAAGTCAAGCACCATTAAAAACAATAAAAAAATAAACAAATGTGGGGAGATCTCAATTTAGCTTGGAATGCAATTTTGCTTAAATTTTAATTCTCCCATGAGGGGCAGTCCTTCTGTTTTGTATGACACAAGCTCCAACTGAAAAAAAAAAAAAAATCTGGAGGGACTTGCTGTGTACAACACAATACCATTAATGACTGCTAATGAAATCAATATTATTGACTGCATTGTAATGTCTCCTCTGCCAATCCAATAAACTTGAAAAGGAGAAAATAAATACTAAAATGACTAGTTTTCTTTCTAAATGGTAATCAGACAATTTTAGTTCCTACATCCAGTGATAAATTTTTAGATTGTATCCAAACAAAAACAAGCATATTGGCTCTCCACATCTTCTACTGCATTGAACTTAAAGAGACTTCTCCAGCTTGTTTTAATTTAAAAACAACTGAATTCTCATTAGCAAAAAGCTGTAAGAATTTAGGATTTGCTCCACAAAATCACCTGCGGGACAGGGATCCTGGATCCAGCAACAGCTGCCTCTGCAAGGCCAAAGTAGTACCGTTTCCTCCTCTCTCTCCCTGGCCAACACAGAAGCACAGTGCTTTGATGCTGCCACAGACTGTTCCTTCCTGTGCCCTCTGGCACCTCACATAACGTGTCTCACCCCTCCTAACCTCAGCTTTCAGCTCTGCTCTGTACCTGACATCTCTGTGGCAGCACAGTACAAACAGCAGTCCACGAGGCAGATCCCACTGAAAGGACAAGCTCTATGCAGTTGCCACCTTTTCCCTGGAGGAGACAGGGCATAGCTGTTCGGGCAGTAAATGCCACCCAAACAGCCAACCGCCTCCTGCTGGGACTCTGCTCTCCAGCTAATGCCTCCACAGGAGAAGGAAGGTCAAAAGCTGAAGACAACCCCTCAACCTGCTCATGACCTAGTAAAGATCCAAGTGCTGCCCCCGCTTTCAATACCACCTAGAGGGAAATGAGGAAAACAGAAACAGGATCTGGCTTCCATGACTGTTAGGTCCTGTGTTTCCTTTCCTAGCTCATACTATCCACTTTGTTTAATGAATAGAGCATGAGGCATCATTCAAAGTTTTCCATCTGTGGTGCAAAGAGTAAAATGTGCTCATAGACTTACCGTGCAGAATATCCCACACCCAGAGGCTTTCGCTTCTGCCTCCGTGGATCTCTCACTTGCTGACTGCCAGAGGACTGGCTATTCACTGAAGATTTCCGATTCTTTGTTTTCTGAGGGGAGCGTCCCTCTCCACTCTTCTCCTCTCCTGTGCTGCCACTCCTTCTTCCTCTAAATGGGATATCCACCAAGCCCCTGCATTTACCCAGCACGTTTTCCCAAGCAGCGGCAGAGTTTTCACCTTCAGATGTAGCAGGGAGGCTGGTAAATCCCAGCAAATGGAAGAACAGAGCCACTGAGACCTGGGCATCCCTAGCAGCATATAGAACCTGCAGAAAAACGTAGACATCGAGATACTGACAAACAGCAAACACTCCCAAACATTATCAGTCTTTAACAGTTGGTACAGTAAAGCAAGAAGCTGGATATATTTCCTTTTGAAGTTCACACAAAGTTCTGGCAGTTGAGTGACACTTCCATAACATCACCACAACCCACATTTTTAGGGTCAGTCAGACTTGAAATACTCACGGGTGCCCCCAGGAACTGCAAAGGACTGAAAAAAATTCAGGTCAGCCAGGCGTTAAACACCCTCCTGCCCCACCAAGCCCTCTCTAACTAATAAAAAGCTCCCTTTTGACATACTGTCTACAAATATTCAGTGTGGTTATTTACCCTGTCACTCCCTCTACTGGTCACTGATTTTGTAGACATCTGCAGCATGACTGTAAAGGAAGCGAGCAATCAGAGAAACCATAACGGTCTAAAGATGGTCAACAAGGTTTCCAGGGTGTCTCTCTAATATTGCACTCACTGCTACAGATTGGAGGAAAGAAAGTAATAAAAAGGTGAGGGTTTGGGTGCACAAACACTTCTTCAAGGGATCTTCCCTTACAGATCTTTCAGGACTAAAGGAAAACAAGGATCAAGAACGCAGGGAGAACAGCACAAAAATATCTGCACTGAAAAGGAGGGAAATGCAGGCACAGAGTCTGAAATTAACTTCAGACCACAGTCACACATAAGGTTTTGAGGCAGAACTCAAAGGCTCAGATCTCCCTGTTGTAATGCCTCTTCTCTACTAATAAGGTTGCTTTTCCTCCCAAAACACTAAGTTGAAGTGGAGGACCCACCTGATCTTGGGTCAGTTCTTCTGCCTCCCAGTTGCTGCAACGCACATGAGGAGACTTGTCAAGTGGGCAGTTCAGGACGTTTTCAGCTAAAGATTTCAGGCTAAGGCAGTTGTGAAGTAGATCCTTCCTTCAGTTTAACAAAGAAAGTGGAACAAACATATTAAAAATTAAACTATACACCCATGCAAATTCAGATGGCCTCATACCACCCTGAACCTGCCAAAACATAGTGCACATGATGCATGACTCCCACTCAAACAGCATACAGTTGCCTGTCAGCTTTACAGACCCTCTCCCTCCCTGCCGCTAGAATGTCCTTTCCAGTAATTTAGTAATTATCTAGTGCCTGCAATAGGCAAAACAGGCAAGGCTGGGAGTTGGTAACATTTAAGGCTGAAGCGTTTGGCTCTGCACTACCTACTTCTGAACTAAACAGACCTATGATAGAGTGATGGACCGCCTGCCCCAGGGATTCATGAGGAGCATGAGAGCCAGGAATGACTCAGAGGAATCCTGGCTACTAGTGACAAGAAGTCCATCCTCAGTGCTAAAAAGGCACCATCAGGTCAGCAGTCCCATGCCCCAGATCACTAACAACACACCCAGACATATATATACTTTATGTGAAGAATACTCCCAAGTAAAACATTTTATTTTAGGAAGAATGAAGGATGAGAAAATGGCATCATAATTGTAACCTTTCAATGGAAGCATTGTTATTAAGAGAAAAAATTAGACCTGGTTTATTTAGTCATTTTTCAAGAAATCCTGTAATTCAACAGTTCCACTTACATGCCCTGGCACATTTTACTCTATACTTCTAGGCAGTGTATTCTAACATCTGTTGACATGGTGATCACTCTCATTACATTACGTCACTGTGCCTCAACTTCTTAAAAGCTGAAGCATGATACCCAGAAAAGTCCCTAAGGGTACTGCATGGGAAGACTAACAGACACAATTAGCATATGAAATCTTCATGAAGATTTCAATTCCATTAAGACCATAAAATAGAAGCATGACATGTTCTTAGGCTGCAGCTGTCAATGCCCATCCTCTAAAACCACACTGAAAACTCCAAACCTACCTGCCTGGTATCATTCAGCATATGCAAACTGCTTTTAAAATATTTCCAACTTAAATGATGCCTCAAACAGAGCTGCCTCTGTCTTCAGACACTCACCGCTGTCTCATGGCTAAATACCGGAGATCCACGCTCCCTTTGACTGGAAGACCATAATCATGAAGTAACTTGCAAGCATCTTCCCAGCATCCTACCCCAACTTTCAACACAGCACTATCTGCCATGATGTCCAACAAAGTCTTTGGGATAGTCTGTCCACTGGAAACTAGCCTGGGCAACCGAACAAGAATGCAGAGGCCACTGGAAGAAGCCATCTGTAGGAGGGATACAGGATTCGCTTTTCCCTCCACAGATACCTGAAATACAGACAAAAATCAGAGTCTGGGTTACAGTGTTATTAGCAGTACTGGAGCCAGAACAAGTTGCAAAAGAGGCCACTGAAGACAGGAAATACCTATCAGTTTATACAGTCAAGTATTGTCACGTCTCAAATTTTACTGCAAATTATGTGATCTGTTTCACAGTATTACTGTCCCCAAGCTACTTCTTGCCACACTCCTACAAGAGAAACTTTTCCCCTTTCACCCTTCCTCCTCATAGCTGAGCTGATGGAAGAAATCAGACACATTTCTCAATCCACATCAGCAGAAAGCCACCCACTACATAACTGTTTATGGCAAACACATTAACTGTGGCTTATACTAATGACTGTGGGGTGAATAAATTTCCAGCCAAAATAATGGCAAAGCCAGGCTTTATAAATGACTCAAAGCTTGTTTTGAGAGTTCACACAGGCAAATGTACAAGCGGAAGAGGAACTTTGCTTTCTGGTAGTCCCAGTGAGTTATATCTACATATTGGTATTATCATCCTTTTGGGATTTATTATTCTTAAGAAATTGTTTCTTAAGATGTACCTGGATTTAAAATAACGTAAACCCAAGCTACTTCTAGTAAATCACCTTTAGAGAGATATTATACAAAACACATAATGCTATATTTAGCCATACAATTATCACTACGTTTAGTATAGTCAACTTATCACAGGAGTTCAATAAACTAATACAACTAGTGAATTAAAAACTTACAGTCAGCACACTTAAACGTGATAAGTGAAAAGTAGCAGCTACTTTACTGCCGTCATGACAGACAATCACACAGGCAGTTTCAATAGTCAGTCCTGTTGTATCCATTTAAGAAAAGGAATCACTCCACCCTCAATGATTTCCCATTGCAATTTGCAGTCTAAAGGAGGTGCTTCTTGATCACTCACCCACTCACAATCAATTCCAAGTACTGGCCACTTCTCCAGCTCCTTCTTCAGCAAAGGTTCAACACGATCCCACTCCTCCTGCTCTGAAACTATCACTATGTCTGCACCAAGGGTCCTCTCTACCCAGGAAAAGGTGGGAGATCTGAAGAAGGAAAGCACCTCCTTATCCTCTGCCTTAATCAGTTTCTCATCTCCTGAGTTTGTAACTGCTTCCTCTTGCTGACTACTACAGCATGCTTTTCCTTTCCGACGCTGGGTTGCTTTCCACAAAACCAGGCCCCCCACTGCAACACCCAGCAGGGTCGCCAACGTAATCGTCACTGCTGTTTGCTTGGGCATTTTTTTTTTATCCCCCTTTTCCCCCCTTCGCTTTACCCACTCAAAACGGCATTGTAGGATTTTATCATGGCCTGCAAAGAAAAATGAGAGAGGTGGAAATTAAAGACAACTTAATGAAATGTGTTAAGAGGTATTAAATACACCCACTGGTATCATAACGAGGTTCTAGTCACAACTCATGATCCTGACAGAAAAAGGAGCGGGTCCCACTTTGATAGACTGGGGGTCAGGGGACAGACTGCTGCAGTGGTGGACTGGGCAGTAATGGGAGCCTGAATGCTGCTGTTGATCACACCACCAAAGACCTTAAAGGGAATCCATTGATTTACACTGGTGCAACTGGATGCTTCCAGAAACTCTGAGATTCCAAAAATAAACTACCCAGGGCTTATATCAACACTTTTTAGCTCAGTTTGGAACCAGATCAACCTAAACAAGGATAAGACAAAATTACTGCAGAATAAGCATGTCCATTCACGCATTAGTAAGTAACAGGCATTGTCCATTACATTCACATCCATACTAAGGTCAAATGGCTCGTCAGGCATTGAAAAGCCCTAAAGAAGCAGCATCCGTTTATAACGCTGCTTTCCCTCTATCATGCAACAGCTTAGCTCCCCTCCAGTAAACTGAAATCAGTCCTGCCCCTGCACCCCCATCTCCCCAACCCACCGCGTTACTCTCAAAGGTCTGCCCTTGCACGCTCTTTGGCACAAGCAGAAGCAGCGGCGTGGGTGCCACTACGGCCCTGCGCAACCGCTAACGGCGTTCAGCGCGCCGACACCTGCCCCAACGCTTGTGAAACGACAGGTTCGTTTACTCTCACGTCTTAAACTGAGCGAGAAGACGGAAAGCAAGGAGGGTCACCGGCACCTGCGGCCTCTCTCCCCGGTGCAAGAGCTGCTACCGCTGTGGGAACCGGGGGAGGCAGGTGCGGACCGCGGCCCTGCGACCCCGGGCAGCCCGCTTCTGCGGATCCCGACAAACCGCCCCTGCTCAGCCCCAGCGCGGGCCGAGGAGGCCCAGGCCGCCCGCCA